TAGGGCCATGATGGCGAACCTATGGTGGAGCCATATTGGTCGGCACACGAGCTGAGCTCTGGCATGCATACGTGCGCCGGCCAGCTGATTTTCTGGTTTTCTGGGCCCACCGGAAGTCGGGAAAGACTGTTTCCAGCCTCTGGAGGGCCCTGGGGGGGGGGGGGATGGAGGAAGGCTCATTTTTCACTCTCCCCAGGCTCCAGAGCCTTTCTAGGAGCCTGGGGAGGGCAAAAACAGCCTTTCCCACCCCCCCCGGAGGCCCTCCGGAGGCTGGAAATAGCCCATTTCCCGACTTCCGGTGGGACTGGAAGGCCCATTTTTCACCCTCCCCAGGCTCCAGAGGCTTTCTAGGAGTCTGGGGAGGGCGGAAATGGCCTTCCACTCCGCAGGCCCTTCCAGTCCCACTGGAAGTCTGGTGGCCCACCATGCCATTCCATGCCAAAAGCGGGGGGAGTACAGGGGGCATGCGTGAATGTGCGTGGGGCAGGGCACATAGAATTATGGGTGTGGGCACACACATGCGCAACCCCCCTGTGCTCCCCCTGCTTTTGGCACTCGATGGCAAAAAGGTTAGCCATCCCCGTCATAGGGGGATGAAAAGATAGCAGTTAGATCCAACCTATTCTCCAAAGCACCTGAAAGCAGGACAAGAAGCAATGGAGGGCAACTCATAAAGGAGCGAACCAACTTCGAATTAAAGAGAAATTTCCTAACTGTGAGAACAATTATTCAGAGGAACAACTTGCCTTCAGAAGTTGTGAGTTATCCAACACTGGAGGTTTTAAAGAAGAGATTAGACAACCATTTGTCTGTAATGGTAGAGGGTCTCCTGCCTGAACAGAAAGCTGGACTAGAAGACCTCCAAGGTCCCTTCTAATTCTGTTATGAAGACAAAGCAAAGTAGTTGCCAGGGGACATTTTGGTGTGATACTGGACAAGGGGAGACATGACCTAAGATGAGTTTATATTCAGGCCAAGCATCTTGTTCCTTAATAATGGGCCCTTATAAACATTTAGTCCTTTGGCCTCTGGTCACAAGACTGAAGGGCATAGGTTGCCCTTTAAAAGCAAAAGCGTTTTGATGGATGATTCCTATTTTTGGAGTGTTTTAGTGAGGGGGCTGTCTACTTCCTTTCTGTGCCAACCACATGCTGCTTTCCTGTCTCTGTTTTTCTCTTTTCTTCATACTTCTTTTACGAGGGGATTGAATTAAAGCAAAACAATCGCTTTAAAACTATGTTTCGATATCAGCCTCCTTGCAGTGACGTTCTTTCAAAAACATTCCCTCCCGATCAGCTGGGACTCAGGAGGCAGAGAATAGATGAGGGCAGGGCGAGTCAGAGGTGGTATTTACCAGTTCTCCAAATTACTCAAAATTTCCGCTACCGGTTCTCCAGAACTGGTCAGAACCTGCTGAATACCATCTCTGGCACAAACTCATTGGGATGTGAGTAGGTTTTTGTCAATGTGTGTACCCAACTGTTGGTTTCTAAGTTAAGATTACAAAATTCCTGGCCGGCAAAGTTAAAGCCGAACCCATTTGAGTTTGTGCCAGAGGTGGTATTCAGCAGGTTCTAACCAGTTCTGGAGAACCCGTAGCGGAAATTTTGAGTAGTTTGAAGAACCGGTAAATACCACCTCTGACTGGCTCTTAGTTGGTACTCATCTTGCAGTTCAGGTGACTCTTTTACCCATACATCAATTTTTGCTAAGCAAATAAGAGTGCAGAGATCTCTCTCTTTCTTTTCCTTATTCTCATAAAAGCCCAGCATCATACAATAGACCTGGGGAATCAAACTCTATTTCATTGAAGGCTGCATCAGGGTTGTGTTTGACCGGGGGCGGGGGGGCGGGGCGGGTTAGGCATGGCCAGGGTGGGCGTGGCCAGCTTGATGTCACTCATGTCATGGACGCCTGTGGCCTGAGTGCTCTGCCAGTGAAAACAGGATCCTGAGCTCCGTTTTCGGCTGGGATGGCCTCCTGCAGCTCTCTGACACCAAAAATGGAGCTCCCTCCCTGAGCTTTGTTTTTGTTGGCAGAGGGCTACAGGAGGCCATCACAGCCAAAAATGGAGCTCGGGAGGTCCCCAGAGGAACTGGGGGCCGGTCCTTTGCTGTTTCCAGGGCAACCCCACAGGCCTTGAGTTTGACACCCCTGCAATAGACAGATTCATTTTTCCCTCTTTACACCAATTCTGACTCAAACATAGCTCAACTGCAGTTACCTGTTTCCTGATTTGAAAACTATGAACAGGGAAAGGAGGGCAACGGAAACATAAACCATAGCTATTTCACACTTATGACGGTTGAAGCATTTCCATGGTCATGTGATCAAAATTCAGATGCTTGGCAACTGGTTCCTATTTATGACGGTTGCAGTGGCCCGGAGCTTACATAATCACCTTTTATGACATTCTGACAAGCAAAGTCAATGGAGAAGACAGATTCACTTAACAAATGTGTTACTAATTTAACAACCCGCTGTGATTCACTTAACAACTGTGGCAAGAAAGGTTGTAAAATTTGGCAAAACTCACTTAACAACTATTTCACTTAGCAACAAATGTTGTGCTCAATAGTGCTCAGAAGTCAAGGACTACCAATAGTTGTTATGATAAAAATAATCCTGGCCTACCTTGTTGGGCTGACATGGAAGGAACAGACTGGTGGAGCACGGGAACTGTTGAAGAGTCTGCAGACACCAATAGGCCAATATTCTACATACTATGTGGAGGTTACTGGAACATACCATTTATTCATGGGAACTAGTAGGCAGTTATCAACCTTGGGCCAAATGTGAGCTTGGACCATCACCTCAATAAGAATCCAAATGGGAATATATCTATTTGGCAAGAATTGTGGATAAATTGTACATAGAGTGATTGTGTGCTTCTGGAAAGATGTTTGCTGTCAAGCTTCGTTGTTATCTCCAAATAAATGAATTTCCAAACGCCCGATCTTTGAGGAAATTTTTCTCTTTATTGGGCATAACGAACTGACCCTGACTCAAAGCGTAGTTAGCACTGAACTTTCCCCCCCCCCCCAAAACCTCCCTTTCCGGTTCCCAATTCTCTGCGTCTCATTGGCCATCTTCCAAGCCACTCTACTCATCCCATCTCTGTCATTTCACAGGAATGCCCCCCTCCCATCTTTATCTCCATGGAGGCAGTTCTTCAGGGGAAAAAGTAGGTGAAAGTTCAAGCCTCTCCGCCCTTCCTTACAGCAGCTTGGAAGCTGACATTTGCATCCTAGATTTTAAATATTGGTTCTATGAAATTGGTCAGCTAGGAGATAACCAGGTGAAGCCCGAAAGGGGTGGTGGTGTCAAATATGTCATCAGTTTGGAGGTGCTGTGCTCCCAGAAAATACTAAATCTAGGTCCCCCATGAATTCTGTTGACTTTTATCTCATGCCAATTTGCCTCGACCATTAGTAGATCAGATTCAGGTATACAGGTAGCATGTAATAATCTTGTAATACAACACTTTGAACTCAACTCCTGTTTCTGGTTACTTGTACCTGACATTAAGTTATCATTTGACTTAGCTTTGTTCTGATGGAGTGACAAGGTGGTTCCATATGGCCTAGTTTAACTCAGCATTTGAACTGTAATGATACATATTTAAGAATTAATAATGAAGAAAAGTAACAGCATCTTGACATTTATTTATTTATTTATTACAATTTATATGCTGCCCTTCTCCTGGAGAACTCGGGGCAGCTCACAACCATCACGTAGAGTAAAAACAATAACAATAACAATAAATAAAGTTTTTAAAAAATACAATTAAAATCCCACAATTAATTAAAAACTCCCAACAGATCAGACAATTTGTTTAAAAAGCCATGTCTTCAGGTCTTTGCGGGAAGAACATGTTGGTTTCCAGTTGAGCTCATGAAGTGTTGGACTTCTGGAGTTGAGAAATATTGGGTTTTTTAACTTATCTTTTTTCTGTCTTTCACTTCTTCTTTTTCTTTTCAGGAAACTTTCTTATTATAGAATCATGGTGTGCATCTCATTCAGCTGCGGTTGAACGGTTGCAGGAACTGGGTATGTCTAGTTTAATGAAGAGAAGAACTAGGGGAGACATGATAGCAGTTTTCCAATATCCCAGGGGCTGCTACAAAGAAGAGGGAGTCAAGCTATTCTCCAAAGCACCTGAAGGTAGAACAAGAAGCAATGGGTGGAAACTAATCAAGGAGAGAAGCAACCTAGAACTAAAGAGAAATTTCCTGACAGAACAATTAATCAGTGGAATAACTTGCCTCCAGAAATTGTGGGTGCTCCAATAGTGGAATTTTTAAAGAAGAGATTGGACAACCATTTGTCTGATGTAGTGTAGGGTTTCCTGCCTGAGTAGGGGGTTGGACTAGATGACCTCCAAGGTCCCTTCCAACTCTGTTACTGTTACATATGCCACCATTATTATTTTTATAAATAACTCAACCAAACATACTCAATACTTCTTCCTCCTCCTATTTTCCCCCACATCAACCACTCTGTGAGGTAGGTAGGATGAAAGACAGTGACTGGCTCAAAGTCACCCAGCCGGCTTTCATGCCTATGGTGGGACTAGAACTCACAGTCTCCTGGTTTCCAGACCAGCCCCTTAACCAGTAGCCCAAACTGGCATTCTTCTTTCTAACAAAGTTCTTGGCAAAGTTTACAATCCCTTCGGAGTTTCATAATGAAGCATAACAGGACTCAGATGGACTTTGGCAAACATGTTTTCTCCTACTGTGCACGCATACCTGCAGCTGTCATGCATGTGTACAATTTCTGGAGATGATAACATTTATATTGTAATTATTAAAATCACTATAATTGCCAGTGTTGTTATTTGTCCCTAGTGCCACCACTGTTATTTGTCCCTAGTGCCAAGAACTTTGAAGGTTTTCTCGTGTCACTTCAGATGATGAGGCTGATGGTATTTAAAATTACAAATAATTTCTTCAGCAAATCCAGAAAATATGTGGTAGATAATTATACCAATAGTTACTATGATTCGGGCTTTGGATTCCCATAAATTAGGAATCATGTAGGATCAACCCTCCTAAAATTCAGAAATATCTTTTTAAGTACTAAAGGTAAGCCTTTTACAAAGTCAGTGTTTTTTTTAAAAAAAGATGGTTCTGCTATTACTGTTTTATTTGAACTTTGGGGCAGTAACAACTCAAAGACCAAGTCGGTCAATGCTAAAAATGTATCCTTATAACTATTATCAATGGGGAGATTACCTCGTTGCTGGAGTCATACCCACCAGGACAGCTGTGTTTCCAACACACATTTTCAGATCTGACCCTTCCAGAGACTTTTTCCCGTAAGTTAGCTTTCAATTTGTCTTCTCCAATTTAGTTCCTCCTTAGTGGAATCAGCAATGTAGGTTGTTTTTTATACTAGCAGTAGCATACTCTTAGATTCCCAATTTTGGGAAAAATAAAGTGCTTTAAAATATGAGAGATGTTACAAAGTGAAGAGAGAAAACACCAAGGTTCACATGAGGATTTTAGTAAAGTATGAGCTAGTGGATAAATCATAAGGTATGTAGTCATTAAGAATTGACAGCAACTTGAGAGCACTTCATCAACCAGATAAAGGCCCTTATTTCCACATGCAATGCTGTATTTTGACACCTGTTCTTGGAAAGTTGCTGTCCACACTTTGCTTTTTATTGAGATTTCAGGAATGCTGATATTTTTTTTAAAAAAAACTGTCATCTTCTAGTGTGATGTTTTCTCCAGTAATCTTGGAGCTATCTTATCTGGGATTCAAATGGATGGGTTAAAAGCTTTTGAAGGAGCAATTCCTTTGAAATGTTCAGGACCATGAGATTTTTAGTTGAAAGAGCAAGCTTAAGAAATAGCATTTAAATGGGCTGATGTCCAGTTTAACTTTTATTCTAGGTTACTGGAAAGGAACTTTCAACATATCTTTGCCATCTTAATAGCCATTGAGGAGATCAACCAAAACTCCCTGCTGTTGCCCAATATTACTCTCGGCTACAGCATCTACGAAAATTGTTTCAGCACAAGGACAACCTATGAAGCCATCATAGATATACTTTCTTCCAGTCATGGGATGGTCCCTAATTTCAAGTGTGGAAGGGAAGACAGTCCCTTGGCTGTGATTCAAGGAGGGGACTTTGAAACCTTCTTTCAGATGGCTACCATGTTAAGTATTTACAAGATCCCTCAGGTATGAACAAGTCCACACTTTTGAGGGGAACCACTCCCATCAACTCTGCAAAAATTTGAAAAAGGACATTGTGTGGACAATGTAAAGTGTGTTAGTTCTTTTCTTCGGTTTGGGAGCCTTTTACTGAAGTTTGACACAAATAAATTGTGATATATAAGAATATGAATGGATAGAATTTGACTGGTGGTTCTGGACTTCTGACTGAAGAAGGAAGTCCATATAGAATGGACCTCTGAGGATTCCCCTTGCGTCTCATTCAGTGAGGCCCAAGAAAGAAGAAAGGATGGAAACAACATGAAATGTTCTTTTGAAGAACAATGGAGGAAAATAATTTCTACTTTATAGATTTGCTTTCAGAATGTTTTCTAAATTTCCTTTGGGTATTATTTATTACATATTTTCAGACAACTTCCATAAATATCCTCTATACAACTTAGGTGATATAAATATATATTTAAAGCAATATCAGAAATATGGAAGAGAGAGGAATGTACTGTATATGCTCTCAGTTTTTATATTTTGCATGCCGTGAAGCTATATGGAAACTGGAGTGGGCTTTAAATGTTAATATTTTTTTTGGCAAATTACATTTGGTATTAAAAAAGTTAAATATTTCAATAAACATATGCATAGAAATGTATAGACTGGGGAAATATGCAAAAATATGTGATTACAGAAGATCATTTGTAAAAGTGACCATATACAAAAATGCATTTACTAGGAATAGAATAGAATAACAGAGTTGGAAGGGACCTTGGAGGTCTTCTAGTCCAACCCCCTGCCCAGGCAGGAAACGCTACACCACTTCAGACAAATGATTATCCAACATCATCTTAAAAATTTCCAGTGTTGGGGCATTCACAACTTCTGGAGGCAAGTTGTTCCATTGATTAATTGTTCTAACTGTCAGGAAATTTCTCCTTTGTTCTAAAATGCTTCTCTCCTTGATTGGTTTCCACCCATTGCTTCTTGTCCTACCCTCAGGTGCTTTGGAGAATAGCTTGAGTCCCTCTTCTTTGTGGCAGCCCCTGAGATATCGGAACACTGCTATCATGTCTCCCCTAGTCCTTCTTTTCATTAAACTAGACATACCCAGTTCCTGCAACCGTTCTTCATATGTTTTAGCCTCCAGTCCCCTAATCATCTTTGTTGCTCTTCTCTGCATTCTTTCTAGAGTCTCCACATCTTTTTTACATCGTAAAAAATAATGTGTCATTTTTTTTGTATAAAACACATACCTGTAAGAGATATGATAAATTTCACAGAATTAAAGACACAGTTCAGACCAGTAGACAGAAATGCAAAGCAATTTCAATTTTAAAATTTCAGAAAAACAATAATAAGCAACTGGGGTTTGAATATAAGATTGCCTTTTGTTACTTTCTCAATTCTAAACCTGACATTATGCAAATTGTTTGAAAATTATTGTAAATACATAGCAGGTTAATATGGATTTTTGAAAATCATTTTAAGCATTTAAAAATGGCAGACAGGGGGGGCACTATGTTTTTGTGTGATACACTAACATGAAATATATTATTTATTATCCTGGAGCTACTGCTACAAGACATCAAACATATATTAGAATTTAAAAAAACAAAACAAATAGCAATGAAAACTATTCTGAAAAACAATCCATTATAACCATTAATTATATTCTGGTAATAAAATCTGATGCAGATATACTCAAAAGATTTAGAAGACCAGTGGTCCTTATGGGGTCTGGGAATAAGGGGCCCAGAACTAAGCTGGACAGCTAAATTCTTTTTTAAAATAAAAATTTAAATTTTATATACACTTTTTACATTTCAATATTTGATTTGTACACCACCCAAAATCCGTCTGTGCGGGAGATGGGCAGTTTTAAGATTTGATGAATAAAATAAAAATAAATTCTTCTAAGTAAAGCTGAATTAATTCAGGGAGATGGACTTTTGAATGGCCCTTGATCAGACTTCACAGAGAGGCTAAAGCTATTTCAGATTTTTTTTTTTAAAAGAGACTTTGAATGCTATTTTGCTATTTTTGAGTGCTTAGCAGCACTAAGTGTTGATTCTTTTTCTCACTAGCTCACTTATGGCTTTGTTAACCACATTCTGAGTGATAAAGCCCAGTTCCCTTCCTCTTTCTGGATGAGCCCAAAGGAAACCCCACAGTATGTGGGGATCATGAAGCTGCTCCTGCATTTTCAGTGGACATGGATTGGACTCGTTGCCCCAAAACATGATGGCGGAGATTGGTTTATGAAGACCATTGAGACAATGGTCTTCAGGAGCGGGATCTGTGTAGCCTTCACATTTAAGGTTCCACAAATTCATATTGAGAAGCTTAATGATTTTTATGAGGTATTCTCGCGTTTTGATGCTCTCCTTACACACTGGACAAGCAAGGTGCTCATTTATTATGGGGATCTTGACACAATGCTTCTGTTGCCTCTTATGTTGTCCAACATTGAAGAAGCCAATCAAACCCCTCTGGGGAAAGTTTGGATCTCCACAGCTTTGTGGGGTTTCACCTTAAGCACAACTTTTAGATACTGGGACATCAAACCCTTCCATGGAGCACTAACCTTCTCCATCCAGGGAAACCAAAGATCTGAATTCCATGATCTTATTTTGATTCAAGATGATTCCCTTGAATCAATTTGGTCAGAAATGTTTGACTTCCATGATTCCAACTATAGATTGTCAAGGAAGACATGGAAAAGGGGCCTTGTGAGAAGAAACATGGCAGGCTTCCTCCCAGGTTGGCCCGAGAAAGGAATGTCCCCAGAGAGCTACAACATCTACCACGCAGTCTATGCTGTGGCACACGCCCTCCAGGATATCTTCACATCCTTATCTAGCCATGTTGTCATTCCAAGAGAAGACAAGGTAGATCTTCCAAACCTTCTACAACCATGGCAGGTAAGAGTGAATTCCACTGAAATGATAGCTGAAGTGAATCTTACACGTTGGATGGGGTTTCTTTTCCAGAATCATTTTATTTCATTCCAGCTCTGGGAATATTTTCTGCTATTTCCTTCCAGCATTTGATTTGGTCCTTCTACATTCATTTTTTTAAAAACAATGGGTAATTGGATTTTTCATTTGCTGAAAGGCCTGGAGAGCATTTCCGTAGACCCTATTGTCCTCCTGTGCTGTGAATCGTAAATCACAAAAGGTCAATGTAGCATCCCCCTTTGTTGGGTATTTGGAGAGTTGTCGTGTTTGCATACCTGAAGATTGGGAAAGGCTGGAATGGACAATTTTAGGGTAGGCAGACTGTGGTTTTGACCAGATCTAAGGATGTTTCCCAAGAGTTGTTTTGCTATTGGAGATACCGGTATATCACAGGCTTCCGTAAAGTAGTAGACTCATGATGAAACATGAGTTGTGACAGTGTGATGCAAATACTGTGACTTACACATCCTTATCTAGTCTCCTGGAACTTGTAAGGGAAAAAATGTTTCAGCAGGCAAGAGTGAGTGCCGCTGAATGTGAAGACTATATATAAGAGGGTAAGGTTTATGATGCTATGCCATGGTCCATCATTTTTGTTCCCATCAGTTAATAGCTGATGCCCATGAGTGAAAACCACCTAAATCAACCTGTGTGCCAACCTGTGTGTAACATCCGTGTATTTCTTAATATGTCATCAGAAAGAAAATTCATTGAAAAGTCAGCATTTTTCACAATGTGATCCAAGCAACCACATACAGAAGACATTCCTCAAACAACAATCATGTTCATATAACACATTAAAGACACATCAAGTTTTAGTGTGTCAGCCAACCACATTTTATCACTAAACGTTGGGTGAATCCAGACATATGTGGTTAGGTTATGGCTTAGTGTGTTGCTCAAACCAGAAACTGTTTAAGGTATTTGTAGGATTGATTATTGAGTTTTATCTAGTATGATGAGCTCACAAAAATCTTCTATAATTACAGCAAAAATGATGAATCAAGCAAGCAAGCTAATCATGTAAAATAAGTGTTCAATTAAACTATGGATAAAATATGAAAAAATCTCCAGTATGAGCTGATATTTACTGACCTGCAAAGGGATTTTGAGTGGCTGAGATGAAACATCTACAGAGTAACTAAGTGCTATAGAAAAGAATGTACTTATAAAATACGTCCATATTTGGAATAGTGTGTTTGATTTATTAAACTACCTCAGAGATATTATGGAGAAAGCAAAGAAAATAAAGCTGGAACAATTTTCCCATAATGCAAACAGGGCCAGCTGTATTGCTAAATTTAGACAACCATTTTTAAAAATGGCCAATCCTTATCTTGTTATTTATTGTACATAAATACACTGTGTAGTAAGGAAGCAGCCAGTTTGGTGTAGTGGATAAACATCAGGCTAGAAACTGGGAAACCATGAATTCTAGCCCTGACTGGGCATGAAACCTTGGCCCAGTCATTTTCTCTCAGCCTTAGGGAGGAAGCAATGGCAAACCACTTCTAAAAAAAACCTGGCCAAAAAAACATGCAGGGATTTGTCCAGGCACTCTCTAAGAATCAGACATGACTGAATGGAATAAAGGAGCTTATGAGCTTTCCTACCTCATACAGTATGCTAATATAAAAAAGGAGCCTAATATGATGATGATGTTACCCATTCAGTCATGTCTGAGTCTTGGCAATTCTATAAGTCTCTCCACATCTTCCAAGAATCTAATGTAGGTTCAATTTAGACCGCCCAAAATTTAATATTTTTATATGGTACCCATTTGTAGCAGCACAAGACTCATTTTGTCCCCCCAAGAGTTAGAGATGGATTGGTCCAAAGTCTTGTAGTGAGATTTGATGGTAAATTAAACCCCCCACCCAATTCCCCCATTCCCCCACTCACAGTCTATTACCTCATTCATACCCTATCCTTGGAACAAGCGCCTGTCTCCTCCAGGGAGCTTCCATGGTTAAAGAGAGACTAGAACAGGGTGTCAAACTCAAGGCCCGTGAGCCGGATCTGGCCCGTGGGGTGCTTAGATCTGGGTGGGGGGGCCATCTTGGAAACAGTGAAGGACTGGCTCATGGTGTCTCTACCAGTGAACATAGAGCTTGGGAGGGTGGCGTGTGGTGCTGGCAGAGGGTTGAAGGAGGCCATTGCAGCAAAAACAGAGCTTGGGAGCCCATTTTTGCTGGCAGAGCACTTGGGCCACCACTGGCGCCCCCAACACGAGTGATGTCAAACTGGCCATGCCCACCATGGCCACAGCCACTCCACCCACCCTGAGATCAAACACAACCTTGTTATGGCCCTCAATGAAATTGAGTTTGACACGCCTGGACTACAACCTGGGTTTCCTCATTCCTGTCTAGTGCCTTCACCGTTACACCATTCTGGCTATAGGACTGAGAAGAAGGGAATGGACAGAGTCCCCAAACAGATTTTGTGGTGAAGGGGCAGTAGAACCTGGGTCTCCACATTCCTAATCCAGCCCCTTCACCCCTAGGCCTCACTGGGTCCTGGACAAAGGCAGAAGAACTAGCCCAGGGAAGGTCCATGGTGAAGGAGGTACAAGAACATGGGTCTTCCTGTTCCTATCCCTTCATGCCATACTGTTCTTATCCACGCTCTCTCAAATGGCTGCCATGGTCGTGGCTGTGAAGGAAAGGTTGCAATCTCTTAAATCTACTCACTTTAAGAGAAAGTTTGATAAGCAGAGACATGGGAGAGGTGCATGAAGTGAAGCATGGTGGGCTATGAAAAGAAAGGATGGGGAATTGTTTTTCTCCCTCCCTCATAATACTGGAATTCAGGAGGATGGGCAGCAGAGAGAGTCCACAGATTGTGTACATAAATGAACTTGGCCATTTAGGTGTCTTGCTCATCTTTTCTGTGTCTTCTGTAACCTTTCTTGAGGTTCAATGATACTTGTACTTGTGGTGTTGGAGTTTTGTTTGCTAAAAGTATTCCCAGCATGAATTTTTCTTGCTGAGTTTTTTTTTTCTTCTTTTCTTGCTTTGCTGCAACCCACCCATTGGTTTGTTGTTTTCATTGCGCTATCCTCCACCATCATTCCCATGGTGAAATTGGCTTCCTGTTTGGTCCTCACCCAAATATAGAAATGTAGAGAAATATGGAGAGAGAGAGAGAGAGAGAGAGAGAGAGAGGAAATGTTATGGGTCAAACAGCCCTGAGGTTCTGCCTTGTGACACTTCTGCAAATTCAGGGAAATTGCTCACGGGGCCAAAGTGGTTATTTTATTTCAGCATCTGGGCCTTCTTCAGGAGGAGCCAATCTCTTTAATTGGTAATAGAAACTATTTCAAATGCTCTAACATGCAGTAAACCCAGCCCTGCTCTGCCTGTCATGTCAGAAGGGGAACTTCTGTTAGCACTGAAAGAGACAATGTGAGAAGGACACCTGAAAAAACTATTACTAAAAACAGCAAGCAGGTCTTCAAAAAGACAAACTTAATGAAAGAGCAACCAGTAACACATTACAATGTACACTGTAATAAGAAATTGAAGATTTAATCTATTTGTCTGCCTGTCTTCCTATCTATCTATCTATCTATCTATCTATCTATCTATCTATCTATCTATCTATCTATCTATCTATCATCTATCTATTTAATTTATCATCTGTCTGTCTACCATCTATCAATATCTATTAATATCCATCTCTCTCTCATATCTATCACCACCATCATCTATTATCTATCTATCTATCTATCTATCTATCTATCTATCTATCTATCTATCTATCTATCTATCTATCTATCTCTACCTACCTACCTACCTACCTATCTATCACCACCATCATCTAATCTCTCTCTCTCTCTCTCTCTCTCTCCATCCATCCACCATCATCTCTCTTTTTCTCAGATCTATTTATATTCAGGTAGTCTTCAGCTTATGACCCCAGTTAGGACCAGAATTTCCATGGCCAGGCAATGCAGGTGTTAACTAAGATGTGCCCAATTTTACAACCTTTTTTGCCATGGTTGTTAAGTGGATCACTGCAATTATTAAGTGAATCAACATGGTTGTTAAGTGATTCTGACTTCCATTGACTTTGGTTGTTGAAAACTGACTGGAAAATAGCAATCACCATGATCTCAAGACACTGCAACCATCAAAAATAACTGCCAGTTGCCAAGCTCCTGAATTTTCATTCCTTGGTCATAGGGATGCTGCATTGGTCATGAGTTCAAGGACCGGTCGTCACCTTTTTCAGTGCTGTTGTAAGTTGAGGAGTCCCTGTAAGTATATAATACAGTATTAAATCCTCACTTTCTTAAGCTTTACAGAAACTTTCTTATAGCTTTATGTTACGTTTCTTATAAAGACTGGATTTCTGTGGGCACCAGGCATTCCAGAGAAAATTATTGCAGATATATTTTTCTGACATTATCAAACTGATTTACCTGATTAGTTTGGGTGTGTGTGTGTGTGTTGTGTTCCCTTTCTCATTCCAGCTTCACCCTTTTTTGAAAACTGTCTGCTTTAACACTATAATCGGAGAAGAGATATTTTTTGATGAAGATGGGGAGTTGGTGGCCAACTATGACATTGTGAATTTGGCTGTATTTCCAAACAAGTCAGCTGTACGGAAGACCGTGGGAAAACTAGATCTAACTAGATCTACAGGTCTAGTGATGAGCATTCAGGAAGAGGCCGTTGTGTGGCCCAGCTCATTTAATCAGGTGGGAAGGAGACTTAAATTCCACAAAGCCAATTAATGTAGGAATTAAAAGTGTGAGTTGAAATTCAGCAGAATTTGTCAAATAATCTTAGCCAACTGCTATCTCTCAGGTGTTACCTCTTTGTTGTTGTTCAATTGCTAAATTGTGTCTGACTTTTCATGACCCCGTGGACCACAGCACACCAGGCCTCCCTACCCCACTGTCCTCCATTGTCTCCTGGAGTTTGTCCACGCTCATGGCCATTGCATCAATGACACTATCTAACCATCCCACCCTCTGCCATCCCCTTCTCCTTTTGCCTTCCATCTTTCCCAACACAGGCTCTTTTCCCTTGAGTCCTCTCTTCTCATTAGGGGGCCTAAGTATTTCAGCTTCAGCTTCAGGATCTGTCTTTCCAAAGAACAGTCAGGGTTGATTTCCTTTAGCATTGACTGATTTGATCTCTTTGCAGTCCAAGGGATTCTCAAGAGACAGAATAAGAATAACAGAGTTGGAAGGGACCTTGTAGGTCATCTAGTCTCCTGCCCAAGCAGGAGACCCTACACCATTTCTTATAGATGGCAATCCAGTCTCTTCTTGAAAGCTTCCATTGATGAAGCTCCCAGAACTTCTGAAGGCAAAGCTGTTCCATTGGTTGATTGTTCTCACTGTCAGAAAATTTCTCCTTATTTCTAGGTTGAATCTCTCCTTGATCAGTTTTCATCCATTATTCCTTGTCTGGCCTTCAGGTGCTTTGGAAAAATAGGCTGACCCCCTCATCTCTGTGGACAGCCCTCAAGTATTGGAACATTGCTATCATGTCTCACTTGGTCCTTCTCTTCACTAGACTTCTTCACCACCACAATTCGAAAACATTAATTCTTTGGTGCTTAGCCGTCCTTATAGTCCAGCTCTCACAGCCATACTTTATTACTGAGAAAACCATAGCTTGGACTATACAGTGTTAACTGTTAGGGATAAAGTAACATTAGATGACTGTAACCAGCCTGATCACATAATTCACACAAAATGCCTTGATTAGGCCTAGCAAAATGTAGGCAAGCTTCTTTGTTACTGGGAAGATATGGAAGAAATATTTTGCAACAGCTTGAAGTTTAAGAGATAAACAACATAAGGTTTCATGGATGAGAATCCATTTCATAGGGCCCGACCTACCATTGGACAGGGGTGGGAAGTGATTACCTCAGACAGCAACTACTTCAAGGTGGGGAAAAGGCTCCATGGCCATTGGGGATTGCTGACACAAAACCCACAAATGTATTTGCACAAATAAAACACCGATCCTCAACCACTGTTGTTTCCTTGACACTCTTCAGACAAGGCCTCGTTCGGTCTGTACCGAACGCTGCCAACCAGGATACCGAAAAGTGATCCCTGAAGGACGCCAAGTATGCTGCCATGATTGTGCCCCTTGCAGAGGAGGGACAATTTCTACCCAAACAGGTAGGTTGCTCTGAAAACATGGCATGTGTCAGATGACCAAAGGCAGATTCATTGACAATTTTTGTTTTCTGTAGGTCTTACAGCAACTTTAATCATCTTTGCAAGTTCAAATCCAGAGCGTTTGGATCAAAAGAGTTGGTACCTCAACATATTGAGCTTTTTTGACCCCCATATTGAGCCCCAATACACACCTTAAAAAGGAAAGATCTAAACAATCCCCAGGTAGAACCTTTCTGATGGTGCTGTCTGTGGTTCTTAGCTAGACCATATTTGTCTGAAATGGTATAGAGTTTCCTGCCTAAGCAGGGGGTTGGACTAGAAGACCTCTAAGGTCCCTTCCAACTCTCTTTTTCTATTCTATTCTATCTCTATATCTTCACCCATATATATTCCCACTATTAGATTCAAAAAGCCAATTTGGTGTAGTGGTTAAGGTATCAGGCTAGAGACCAGAGATCATGAGTTCTAATCCTGCTTTAGGAACAAAGCCAGATGGGCACGCTTGGGCCAATCACTTTCTCTCAGCCTTAGGAAAGAGATAATGGCAAACCAGTTCCAAAACCAAGAAAACTTAAGGGATTTGTCCAGACAGTCACCAGGAGTCAATACTAGTTTGAAGGTATGTATGTGTGTGTGTATGAATGAATGAATGAACGATATAGCTTTAGTAATCAGCATTAGTGTTAGTGTAATCAGGGCTAAATAACATCCACAGTGTCCACAACACACACAGTGATCTCTGGAGACTTTTGACTGTTAAGTTAAAATAAATATTAAACAGGTGTATGTTTTAATTTCAAAAGAAGCAGCTTTGGAGCTATTTTTTTGTGATTGATAGAGAACTGGGACTGTGTAAACATTTGGGGGAAAAACGCATGGGCACAAGAGAAAATAAAAATCCTTGGGAAGCACTGTGTGGCTGTTTTGCCCAGTTGTTTCTGTAAGAGGATGCATGTACTGCTACTTGGCTGGTAGTTCCATCAGAAGTGCTGCCCACCATAAAAAATATTAGAAGATGTCTATGGAGATTCTCAGCCATCCAGGTCTTGGTCGTCCCAAAGGTGCTTTTTCAAGAGGCAACTGGACTTTCTGTTTTTTCTTTGAAGATGTTTCGTTTCTCATCCAAGAAGCTTTTTCAGCTCTCATTAGAAGATGTCCTGTTCCTGGTCTATCTATCTCGTGATTAATAGATTATATGCAGGGGTGGGTTCTAATTTTTTTTACTACTGGTTCTGTGGGCGTGGCTTATTTTGTGGGCGTGGTTTGATGGTCATGTGACAATTCTTTAGGATTTAGCAGAGGTACTTGTCTACCAGGCTTTTAACTGTTTGCAGAGCTGTACCGATCTACCCATTTGTTCTTGGAGCGTTCCGGTCTACCCATTTGTTTTTGTAGGCACCGGTCTACCCATTTGTTTTTCGAGCGCACTGGTCTACCACCGCACTGCCTTTTAACACTGATCAGCTGTAGGGCGGCCCTTTGAAGCCCCGCGGCAAGAGTTTAAACAGTTTTTTCCTTCTAGCTGATCAGCTGGGACTCGGGAGGCAGCGAATAATGTGGGGGGTGGGCGGAGGGCCCAGCTCCCGAACAAAGAGAACTGGTTCGGTGACATCATATTGTCACTGCTACCGGTTCGGCTGAACCGGGCCGAACCGGGAGGAACCCGCCACTGATTATATGCCATTGAATCATTTTTGACTCCTCACAGCTACATACAATAGATAGATTTTCTCCATGACAATCTGTCCCCAAGCTTCTAATGTTGCACTCAATGCCATTGTAACAGAGTCTGTCGATCTTACAGGTAGTTCTCGACTTATGACAGGTTGCTTAGCAACTTTTCAAAATTACAATGGATCCTCCCCCACAAAAGGGACTTATGGCCCGGTTTTGAAGTAGTGTCATCACTCTCCCCCCACCCCCCTGCAGTTATGTGACTGTATTTTGAGAGCTTGGCAACTGGCCTGCATTGCCAGCTGTATGCAGAACCTCACGGTCACATGATTGTGATTTAAAACATTTTTGCCAGAAATTGGCACAGAATAGAATAGAATAGAATAGAATAGAATAGAATAGAATAGAATAGAATAGAATAGAATAGAATAGAATAGAATAGAATAACAGAGTTGAAGAGGACCTTGGAGGTCTTGTAGTCCAACCCTCTGCCCAGGCAGGAAACCCTGCACCACTTCAGACCAATGGTGGGTTCCTCCCGGTTCGGCCTGGTTCTCCCGAGCCGGTAGCAGTGACGATATGACGTCACCAAACCGGTTCTGCCCCCCCTGCCGCCCTGTGCCAGGAAAGCCTCCAGAGCCTGGGGAAGGTGAAAAACAGGCCTACCATAAGTACCAAAAGTCTGGAAACAGATCCATTTCCGGACTCCAGAGGAGGCCCTTTTCGCCCTTCCGGAGGCTTGAGGAAAGCCTCTGGAGCCTGGGGAGGGTGAAAACACCACCACCCCACCATGGTGCAGGAGGCCGAGTAGGTCACGCCCCCATGGCCATGGCCATCCAGCAACTGGGCAGAGAACTGGTTGCTAAAAATTTTCAATCCCACTCCTCCACTGACAGTATCTAAAAGCAGGGATTCCTAAACCTTTTGTTATTTAGTTAATGTAATCTTGACATTTCCTAAAAATCCAAATACCAAAATGAAAACAATACAATGAAACTTCGGGGATGATAGATTCATTTATTGGGACAAGGGAACTAAAAGATGTCTTCAGATGTCCCCACTGAGTCTGTCTATACTTCCCCAAGGGAGGTGCACCTCAAGTATGGAAACTGTGGTTAAATATACCTCTTCCTCTCTTCTGTATTCTAGCCATTGCCGCTACATTTAACTAAAGTAGCTGTCAAAAAAGCCCTTGATGCAAAAATCGAAAAAGCGCAGCCGTACTATTATTTCACCTTCACAGCTCTAAGAAATTATTACATTCACTGTAGGATGGGGAGCTGTATAGCCAGAAACTGTTCTGCCCCAGCTACAAACCCCAAAGAATGCAGCAAACACAAAGTCCGTATAAACCTTAGTTTACTAATTAAGGACTACGAATGAGTTTTCTTAGTAGTTGTTCGAACACAGTTTAAAACAGTCTTTTCTGAACAAGGGCTGTTAATTTAACTTAATTAACAGCCGACAAGAATACAAAGAATAATAACTCAATTCTGAAGCACAGTATTTCAGATAACCGTAATCTTACTGTGGTTGGCAGAATGCCCAGAAGCAATTTGCAGGAAAACTGACAAGAGATAAACAAGAGCCGAATGAAACGTTTCTGGAATCAAAACGCAAAGGAATATGAACAAAGTTGTTTCCTGCAAATTGCCTCAGTTGTCATCCTTCCTTAAATAAGCTAGGGGAGTGGCCAATTAGCCCCAAGCCTTACTCTCGAGGAGACCTCCTCCTGAGGAGCCACTCCTGCCTTTTGGCAGCTCTGCGCGCCCGTGCATTGAGAAGAGGCTCCTCCTCTTCTTCCTCTTCACTTATGGGAGCTTCTGGAGGTTCCGAAGGCCCTGGCTGAATCCCCGCCTCTGGCACCACATCTTCTCCAGCCTCCTCATTGTCTGACTTGAGTGCCAGCTGCACAGGCTGCTGGCACATCACCACACCAGCCTCCTCGCTGTTGGAATCAGCTACTAACTGCACAGGCCGTTGATGGGCCACAACAGAAACTTCCACACAGGACAAATGTTCAGATAGCTATTTTGTTTATTTTGCATACAAATATACAGCAAACATGGATTGGATATGCTTCAATTTCTCTTAATACCAATAGCCCTTAGACTTATATACTGCTTTACAGTGCTTTACAGCAGGGGTGGGTTCTACTTACCTTTACTACCGGTTCGCATCGTGCCCACATGTGCATGCAGATGCACATGAGCAGATCACTTTTGATGACATTCGGGTCAGTGGGCATAGCCTCCCGCCGGTTTTACTACCGGTTCTATAGAACCAGTCCGAACCGGGGGCAACCCACCACTGCTTTACAGCCCTCTCTAAGAAGTTGACAGAATCAGCATATTGCCCCCAACAGTTTGGCTCCTCATTTTACCCACCTCAGAAGGATGGAAGGCTGAGTCAACCTTGAGCCTGGTGAGATCTGAACTGCCAAATTTGCAGGCAGCCGGTAGTCAGCAGAAGTAGCCTGCAGTACTGCACTCTAACCACTGCGCCACCGTGGCTAATGGAGTGGAGTGCAAAATTCTGTTGTGCCAGGACTTGTAGCAACTTTAGCCAAGGCACTGTCTGAGAAATTGATTGACTCAAGATGTTCCCTATGATAGTTTGGCTTGGGTAGGCATAAAACAATCGCAATTAACTTTACCTTGCTGTGTCAGAGATGAGGGTTGCAAATGCTCAATGACATGGAAGGGTCATTGATGCTTTAGTATTATCTCAGCAGTTTTCAATCTCTAGATTTGCCTTCTTCCATGAGACTCATATCCTAGATTTTGACGCTCTTTAAGAAATTGCAATAAAAACCAGGATAAAAGAGAAAATGTCAATTATTGTGGAAAAAAATACCAGGTGCTGAAGTTTCCAAATATATTGTGTTTTTCAGATGCAGTTGATTGTCATGAGTGCGCCAAAGATCAATATCCAAACTATGGCAGAGATCAATGTATCCCCAAGATTATAGTCTTTTTAGCCTATGATGAATGTCTGGGAATCACTCTGAGTTTCTTTGCCCTGTGCTTAAGTCTAGCTACAGTTCTGATTTTAGGAATCTTCATTAAATACCTAGACACACCATTGGTCAAAGCCAACAACCAAAAGCTCACCTACACCATCCTCATCTCCCTCCTGCTTTGCTCCTTATCCTCCTTCTTATTCATTGGTCCCCCTCACAAAGTGAGTTGTCTCCTGCGCCAAACTGCCTTTAGCATCATCTTTTCAATCGCTGTCTCTGCCGTGCTGGCCAAAACTCTGACTGTGGTGCTGGCATTCATGGCTACCAAACCAGGAAACAAGATGAACAAGTGTCTGGGGAAGAATTTGGCAATGGCTGTGGTACTCACTGGGTCCATAATTCAGTGTGGCATCTGCGTGACTTGGATTGGAATTTCTCCTCCCTTCCCAGAACTTGACACTGATTCTCAGATTGGACAGCTGGTACTGCAATGCAACGAAGGATCTGTCGTCATGTTTTACAGCGCACTTGGTTACATGGGCATTCTGGCGGCCATCTGTTTCATTGTGGCTTTCCTAGCCAGAGAGTTGCCAGGAGGTTTCAATGAAGCCAAGCTGATCACCTTCAGTATGCTGGTCTTTTGCAGTGTTTGGGTGTCCTTCGTGCCAAGTTACTTGAGCACCAGGGGCAAATACATGGTAGCTGTGCAGGTTTTCTCCATCTTGACTTCCAGCGCTGGGCTAGTGGGATGCATCTTCCTTCCCAAGTGTTACATAATTATATTGCAGCCTCATCTCAACACCAAAGAGCACCTAATGATGAAAAGAAGAAAGGAATAGTTTTATGAAATTTACTATAGAAATGACAAGCTCCGATTTGAGTGTACCGATGTAATAAATGACTTAATATGAACCCCAGGGAGAGAAAAAGAAATATTTATTCTTTCAATATGTGGGTTTGAATAAATAGGAGAACTTTTGTCTGGAAGCTGACACCTGCTGAAGTAAAAAAAAAAAAAAAAAAGTAAAAAAAAGCCTCCAAAATATTTGGCCAGCAGTTTAATTCAGGAGAAAGCATTCAAAAATCCAGCTTCTACTTTTTGATAAAACTGATAGAGGCTGCTAAGGAATAGAAATGAAATGGTTACATAAATTAGCTTCCTCCCCCCCCCCCCCGCGCTTTTGGTCTTATGGCTTGTGGTTCTTTCATTTTCAACTTTTATTTCGAAGGGCTTCTTTAAGGCAGAGAGTTAGTCAACATGAATCGTCAACTGCACCGTCTGCCAAAACCAGGAGTCGACCCCGCACTAATATCAACTCAGCCCAAAGGTATTGGATTCATATTCTAATTGCCTTTAATTTTTTTTTTTTTTTTTTTTTTTGGAACCATGAAACTATTCCTGAATGAATCTTTTGATATTAGCGTAAAGCCTAAAGAAAGACTAGGTTGGTTTTTTTTTAAAGGAATTAAATTTAAATTGCTATTTTGCAACCAAATTTCAGCAGCTGTTCAGGGACAAAGGACTTGCAGGGCCAAAAAACAGAGACGAGAACTGCCTATAGGCCAGAGGCTTCAAACTGTGCACCTCTGCTGTCTAATTTCGGTCTCAAACAGGGACAAAAAAAAATGTAGCTGTCTCTTTTTGCTCTCTTTTAAAGTTTATTGAAAAACCATTTAGATTTGATGTGGGCTGGTCTTAACCATAAGGTGAGTTTTATGTGGTTTCAAGATGAGAACAATTCTTTGAATTTTTGAGCTATATCAGTCCTTGAGGTTGATTCTGTCTGTCTTTTTTGCGTAGGAGTGTTTTTTGTTTCTGAAAAGTTTAGCCTTGCTTGACATTTGGTGTTCGGCTTCAGCTGGAGAACGTTTCTATTAAAAGCTGACATCAGCTTGCTGATACACAAGGTTGTAGTGCAGGGTTATCCACCAGTGTGTGTGTGTGTGTGTGTGTGTGTGTGTGTGTGTGTGTGTGTGTGTAAAAAGTCAAGATGGTTGGCATAGCTGAAGCCTCAACACTGTGTTTTTACGTCTGTGGCACAATAGGGCTTCAGTTATACGGTCATAACTGCCATTTTGTCACCTCTATGAGGTAATTCCCATTAGGAAAGCAACTCCACAGGAATATTAGAACTATAGAGGTAGTCCTTGACTTACAACTATTTGTTTAATGGCCACTGGGAAAAAATGTGATTTATGGCCAGTTCTCACCCTGACAACCTTCACAACATCCTCAAGGTCCACATGACCAAAATCCAGGTGTTTTGCAATCCAAATATATTTATGACAGTTGCAGCATCCTGGAGTCATGTGAACATTGCTTGGGGCCTTCTCAGCTGGTTTCTGACAAGCAAAGTCAATGGTGGAAGTCAGATTCACCGAACAACTATGTGATTCCCTTAAGAACTGCTGTGATTGCTTAAATGAAAAAGGTCATAAAATTGGTCATGACTCATTTAACAACCACCTTGCTTAGCAATGGAGGTTCTGGAGCCAATTGTGGTCATAAGTTAAGGACTACCTTATATTTCATTGAAATATAGTAACAACCTCGCAAGTTTGCCTGAGTTTTCCCTTCCCTTCACCTTATACCCACAGGAATTAGAAGGGGGAGGCAGGGTCAGTCTTTTTTCTAATACAGATAGTCCTTGACTTACAGCAGTTCCTTTAGTGACTGATCGAAGTTACAACAGCACTGAAAAAATGACATGACCATTTTTCACACTGACAACCAACGCAACATCCTCACAGTCATGTGATCAAAATTCAGACACTTGGCAACTGACTCACATTTATGACTGTTGCTGTGTCCCCAAGGTCATGTGATCACCTTCTGCGACCTTCTGACAAGCAAAGTCAGTGGGAAAACCAGATTCACTTAATAACCTTGTTACTAACTTTACAACGGCAGTGATTAATTTAACAACTGTGGCAAGAAAGGTCGTAAAATGGAGCAAAGTTCACTTAACAAATGTCTCACTTAGCAAACAAAAATTTTGGGCTCAGTTGTGGTTGTAAGTCGAGGACTACCTGTATTTTTCCACCAAATTTCACTTAACATATGCTGCTTCCATCCCCACTGTCATTTTAATGGTTTCTGGATGTCTTCTTCAAGGTAATCTCTGTGGCTTCCTATACCTCTAGACTAGAGGTCCTCAAACTTGGCAACTTTAAGACTTGTGGACTTCAACTCCCAGAATTCTCCAGCCAGCATTGTAGATGGCACACCTCCTATGCAACAGAATGAATCATCCCAGGATATGGTGATGAGCCCCTAATGCAGGGGTCTCCAAACTTGGAAACTTTAAGACTTGTGGACTTTAACTCCCAGCAAAGCTGGCTGAGGAATTCTGGGAGTTGAAGTCCACAAATCTTAAAATTGCCAAGTTTGGGGACCCCTGCTCTAATGACTCACAACTAGATTGTTGAAGAAGGTGCATTGAAATAAAACGTTCTACATAGCTTTGGAGCCCCTTTGTAGGTAATCAGGCTCTTCTCCTTCCATTAGAAATGAGTGTCAGTATTTCATTGGGAACTAAATGTTTGGGTTTCACTCATTTTGTTTCTATCTCTTCAAGTCCAAGTTGCACACCAACTCTGAAGGCCAAGTTTTAAAGTAAGAGGGAAAAACAGAACGATTGATTTTAGAATGGAGGAGTTTATCGTGGTTCTACATAGTTACCTATGTCCCATCCATATTATTAGTCCACTCACTCTCTTGACCTGGAAGGAAGAAGCAGGGGAAGAGAGAAGGAGAAGGAGAAGGAGAAGGAGAAGGAGAAGGAGAAGGAGAAGGGGAAGGAGGGACAACCAGCAGTAATATAGTTTAACAGCTGATTTCTTACAGAGGCCATTAGGGGGTGGCTCACGAACTAACATTCTAAGGTCCATTTTATAATTTAGGTCACTGTTATTGTGCTTTTTGTAACAGAAGGCCAAAGTGACCTACTTATTGCTCCCTCCTCCTGTCACAATAATCCTGTGAGGTACTTTGGTCTGAGAGATAATGAATGGCTCAAAGTTCTCCAAGGAACTTCCATGATTGAGAGGGGACTAGAACCTGGGGTTCCCTGTTCCTCGTCTAACATCTTAACCCCTGGACCAGAGGTCTTCAAACTTGGCAGCTTTAAGACTTATGGACTTCAACTCCCAGAATTTTCCATCTAGCATAGCTATGCTGGCTGGAGAATTCTGGGAGTTGAAGTTCATATGTCTTAAAGTTGCCTAGTTTGGGGACCCCTGCTCTAGATTTTTTTGACACCATCCCATATACACCCCAGATGTCCCTCCTACACTTGTCAATATCATGTAGGCGATCCATCATCTACAATGAACTTCCAGGTGCTTCATAAGAACTCTTACGTTTTCCACTGTTATTGGTTTGTTTTTTTACTATATTTATTTCCCAATGTTCCACAGATGCTCCATCTTACTTCTGTCCCAGAATTGTTTTTTTGATATTGCTGATAGCAAGCATTGCTCTGAAGTGCACAGTGATCGTTCTGATGTTTTCAGGTAATGATCTGGTTTCATCTTGTAATTTGCATATAAAAACTGGCCCTAAAGTCAGCACCCAACCCCTGACTAATAACCACTAGGCTTGATCCCATTGTGCATTTGTAATAGCTCATTTCATGAAAAGAAGGACTAGGGAAGACATGATAGCAGTGTTTCAATATCTCCGTGGTTACCACAAAGAAGAGGGAATCAAGCTATATTCCAAAGCACCTGAGGGCAGAACAAGAAGCAATGGATGGAAACTAATCAAGGAGAGAAGCAACCTAGAACTAAGAAGAAATTTTCTGTCAGTTAGAACAATTAACCAGTGGAACAACTTGCCTCCAGAAGTTGTGAATGCTCCAACACGGGAAGTTTTAAAGAAGAGATTGGATAACCATTTGTCTGAAGTGGTGTAGGGTTTCCTGCTTAAGCGGGTGGTTGGACTAGAGGACCTCCAAAGTCCCTTCCAACTCTGTTATTATTCTACTCTATTTGCTCATTCACTGGGAGCCTCTTTTGTTCCCTTTTTCCCCTTTTGGCAACAAATCAAAGTTGAAGAGAGCACTGTGTTCGTTCCCCATTTTAACAGCCGGAAATCTGGGGGAGCAGAGGTTATAAATATCTTAGTCTTCCCTCTTCCCCTCACAATATTTTCCATTGAGTGCGGAGGAGTGGTGTGAGGGCTGCCATTCAGCTACACTTTGCATTGCTTGCTGTTAGCCTGCCATAGCAATGTGGGGTAGGGACCAGTGGGTGGGATAAGAGAGAGGGTTAGCAGGAGGAATTGAAACTAAGCATCGCATCATCCTCAGATTTGGCTTTGCTTCTTCTGTAACCACTTGGCTTTAGTAAAGTATATTTTTTGGGGTAACCATGGGCCCGAGAGTCTTTCTTTTCTAACTGACCAAGTTTGGACAGTTGACAAGTAGAGAGTGGAGTCCAGATTACAGAGATCACCATGAAGCTTCACAGGGAAACAAAAAAATTCAAAGCCCAATCTCTTTTTTTTTTAATGTGGAACATGTATGCCAATCCACATAAAAAGTGGCAGAGCTTCAATCTCATAGTCCTGTCCATCTTGCCTGTCACCACAGTCTTGGTGGCTCAGAAGTTAGAATGCAGTACTGCAGGCAAACTCTATCCAAAACCCAGAGTTTGATCCTGATTAGCTCAAGATTGACTCAGCCTTCCATCCTTCTAAGGTTGGTAAAATAAGGACTCAGATTGTTTGGGGCAATATACTGACATGGTAAACCATGCAGAGAGTGCTGTAAAGCACTATGGAGCAGTAAATAAGTCTAGGTGTTACTGCTATTATTATATAATAGTACTTTTTAATTGTATTCATTCACTGAATGATTTATCAAGCAATTATTTATTTATTTATTTATTTATTTATTTATTTATTTATTTATTTATTTATTTATTTATTATATTTCTATACCGCCTTTCTCCCATAGGACTCAAGGCGGTGTACAGTCAAGAAAAATATAGACACACAAACATCATAAAATTGCTAATTAAAATAATTAATTTAATAATTAATTTAATCAATCCATCAGTCAATATGGCCACCGATCTCAAAAACATGATTCTGTTTACAACCATTAAAAAGAGCAGAAGACAAAATTAAAAAAGGAGGAATGGGCATTAGGTATGTTTGCTGCCTTATTTATAAAATAACTAAAGCAGGATAAAAAGTCAATAAATGAAGTTTTAAAAAAATAAACTGGTTCACTGATGTGATGAAAAGGGAGAAAGAATTAAATCAATGATTGTAACTGAATTAAGTACGGCTGTTTTGAAAGGAATAACAAAATTAAATTCAGTTAAGTTTTGGTCCTGGCTGTACCCTGTTCTTTCTGTAGGCCCCAGCATGCCATTCAAAGCCCGAGTACAACTTTTAGCCCAAGTAAAACTCCACACTCTGAATTTAAAGCAAGAAAGGAGAGTCCAGGTCTTAAACAAACTTGCTCAGCCTTCTAATCCTCCTCGTCTCCCTTCAGAAACAATGGTGCAAATTTTGCCAAGCCCTTGGTAGGACTGGGTGGCCTACTCCATTTATCACTTCCTTAAAAAGCCAAATCAAATTATTAATTGTTCAGATCCATACCCTGCTTCTTCCCTCCAAGAATGAAATCCCCCAAAGTAGTTTGCAAATCACAGAAGAATCCCTGCAGAATCTCCAAAGAGCCAAACAAGGGGTAAGAACTAAGTAGCTAGTCCTGAGCTTTTGGTGTGTGTGTGTGTGTGTTTTAGCCAAAGCTGCCCTTGGAACAATAGAACTCTGACACAACTTCTCCAAAAGATGGCATATATTAATAAACTCCTTGCAATGACTTTGTAAGAAAAAAAGAAGAAAACGATGACAACTGTGTTCTCACATCAAGCTATTTTCTAAGGTTCGCAGGTTCCTAGTGCGGGAATCAAGGCAAGGAGAGGGATCCAAAGTTGTCTACAGAAATGTATTCCTTGTGGATCAGCTGAAGGCCACATAACAGGTAATCCTGGTTCTTTCCAACAATAAACATCAGCTATGTCTATATATTGATATCAGCTGTGGTTTTAAAAATGTTCAGAACTCATAAAAGACAGGTGTAAGAATCCATCTGAGATATCTCCTCAGAGGTCCTTAAGTTATAGAGACAATACTTTTTGACAGGATTCTGATAGGTTAAGAGTCCCAACCAAGAGGAAGCAAGACCAATGGAATTCTAGAAGAGAAGGAAAAGTGGGAGGGAGCAAAAGCATAGAAGTTGTCCAACGGGAGAGCTTGAATCTAAGCAGAAGATTCTATAGCTGTTACTCAAAGGACCCAAATGGGAACAGCATGAAGTAGAGATGTGGCCTCCCACTCTTAAGTGCAAGAAGAGTAATTTACAAGGAAAGGAAAACAGGGAGTAATTTTACAAACAGTTATGATATCCAGGCTCAATCGCAGATGTTATTTTATTTTATTTTATTTTATTTTATTTTATTTTATTTTATTTTATTATTTTATTTTATTTTATTTTATTTTATTTTATTTTATTTTATTTTATTTTATTTTATTATTTTATTTTATTATTTTAATTTAATTTTATTATTTTATTTTATTCATTTATTTATTTTCATCAACCATGTATTTTAGGACAGATACAAGTGTAAACATAATTATAAATACATGAAAAGGATACGAATAAAAGAAAATATTAGGACAGGGACGGTAGGTACACTGGTGCGCTTATGCATGCCCTTTACAGACCTCTTAGGAATGTGTTTTATTATTGATATAGGAAGGGTTAGGAAACAGAAAGGCAGATCCATTGGAAGGATCCCTAATCTCTTCCAAACTCCTGTGACCTTTTAAGCCGTAAAATTGCAAGCTGGACAAAAAATGTTAACTGGGTTTTAAAATATAGCGCTCCGCATTTCATGTAACAGCATCCATTCTCATCCGAGTGTAGATATCAGAGGATTTCCGTTCTGCTACTCCGTTATTCAACCCTGAAGGAAATAGTTGTGTGCATGCATGCATGCTATTTCCTTTTCTATTTGCTTTAGTGGCATCACAAATCAGCCTTTTAGATGGCATACGTTGGTTTTTGTGGCTCAAGCTAGGTAAACCATTTCAAGAAGCAGGGTAACCACACTCCCATTGAACTGTGTTTTAACTTGTGATCTTCGTGTGCATTAAAGCTCTATGATTTTGAGGCAGCTAGACAGATAGACCACAGGAATCATGATCTATTGTGTTACGATCTGCATTGACATTTTAAAAATATTTTTCCCTTACATTTGACGTTGTTTCAAAATAAATTTAGTTCAGATTTTGTGATGAATGGGGCTTTCTGGCACAATCAGGTTACCGATGCTTCTGCTTTGAACTGTTACCATTTGTGTATTTTTTTTTTTTTAAATGACAACCACAGTTGAATTTTCTTTGCAACTTCTTCTTGCCTAGAAGACAAGGTATTTTTGTGTAAACCATTTTAACTTTGGTTCCATCTTTTCCATAGATACCTAGGATATGAGCTCTATAGTACTGAATACTTTCAAAATCACTTATTGTCACATATAAATGCCTAACTCCAATACCACCTCCTACTTGGTACAGTAAGGTTTAACACCCACACCCTCACCTTTCCCACAACTCCTTCTTACCTTTAGCCACACCTCCCTAGTACTTAAGCGACATACACAAGGTACTGGGGTGCACTGAGACTTCACCTGTAAGAGAGCAAAGTTGACTCAATAAATATGATTGGAACATACCATTGATTCTGAGTATTTCTTGGGCTAAATCCTCATATCTTAACACTTATGGTTTTCAATTTTATTACTTATTTACAGTGAGCATCATTGTAATCTCCTCATTCAAAAAAAAATCCCCTGAATTGAGGCGAGACCCCACCTCTAGATTCCTACTCTTGCAAAACAAATGTATAACTATAAAAATTATTTGAAGAGCTATAAATTCCATAGCTGATGGTGAACGTTTTTCCATTCTTTCTTCCACACAGCAAATCTGACTCTGAATCCAAGCACAGCTCATCCCCAGCTCTACGTATCCTCTGATTTGAAAAGCGTAGGATGGAAAGGCATGAGTCAGCAAGTGAACAGCACTCCTCTGAGATATGACGTTATGGCCAGCGTCCTAAGCCATGAGAGCTTTAACTCTGGGAAGCTTTGCTGGGAGGTAGAGGTGGTGGAGGAAGGGGAATGGTGGGGAGTGGGAATTGTTAGGGAATCTGCAAACAGAAACGGGGTGATTCTGCTCGAACCTCGAGGGGGTTACTGGGGAGTGCAGCGAATTAATGGGAAGCATCAATCAATCACTGAGCCCAGGACAGATTTGACATTGTGCCATTCCCCAAGAAGGATCCGAGTTTCTTTGGACTATGTAGAAGGTCTTGTGGCTTTTTTTGATGGCGATACGAATGCTGAAATCTTCACTTTTCCAAAAGCAAATTTTGCTGGAGAGAAGATGCATGCGTGGTTCTTGATCTTTAAGTGGAAAGGACAACTTCTCCTCCACCCGTGACACAGTGGGACAAAGACCATCATCCTGTTGGAAGAACTTCAGACCACCTGCCTTAATCTCTCTTCCATTTCTTCTGTTTCTCTCTGCCTTCCTGTACGATGTGCCCTTTGATTGTCATGAATGAAGGCAAATATACGTATCCTAGGATAACACTGCAGGATCCAATCTGGGATCCTTTGACTTCTTTTTAATCCTTCTGTATCCCTCCTTCTCTGCTGCCAGCTTTTTAAATTCTAAATAAAAAATCCCTTAAATTGCAGTAATAAACTGCATTTCAAACAATACTTCTAAACTCAAAGATTAAATCATGTTTCAACCTGTCTCCTATATTTGAGAACGAGTATACTAGACAGGACTAGGACACAAATAATTACCTTGACTTTGAGAGTTCATTTGCCAAAACCATGTACCTTGCAGCCATTGGGTCTCTTTATGCTTCTGGCCACTCCCAGTTTTAAACTTTCTGAATCCATCATCCAATGGTTAAACAGCAATGCTGGGAGGAAAAGATGGCTGCCCAGATACACTCTGAGTCTGGGACCTGCTTTGGCTGGTTCAGGTATTGAAACCTGGGCATTCAGAGTTCAGTATTTTCCGTACTGAATTTGAAAAAGTAAATCTCTTTCAGAATCTTCCTATGGGATTCATCTCAATTAACAGCTGATGCCTTTCAGTCTTGTTGGTTTTAAAACAGAATCAATCAATTCATAGGGTGAGCACAACAGAACTAGCAGTTCCTGGGAACGATATGGAAGTTCCATCACCTTAAATCTCTGCTTGTGAGAAGAATGTGTGGAAACTAAGTATTGAACTATATACAAGTACCTTTAACTGCAGAAGTGTAAGATAGTGGGGTTGGATCAAGAGCGTGACTAGGTTTCTAAGATGGGCTGGGCCTTAGGTATATGCCAGGAACCAAGATAAAACAGCTTCATTTTAAAGTATCCTGACGTTTTTCACATTTACATTATAGCTGAATGTTCAGAAGTGGTATGCCGTCTAAAGATGGCCTTGGGCCTTGGAAGAACATGTAGGTGTAATGACATGTGGGAATGACCTTGGGAAAGGAGGACAAGAGATCAGGGGTGGCATTCTATCAGTTCGGACCGGTTCAGGCAAACTGGTAGCTCCGATTATCAGCTGGGAGCAAACTGGTTCGCTCCGATGATCAGGTGGTCCTGCCCACCCCTGCACTTTACTGACCTATATCTTCTCTGCTGATTCGTATGGCAGTGTGGATTGCCGCGCCTCAGCTGTGTTACTCCCCAGCAGAAGGTAAGTTTTCATAATACTGCGCATGTGCAGCAAAGTGCGCAATCACCGAACCGGTTGTTAAACCAGCAGGATCCCACCACTGCAAGAGATGCTGCCCAAGGAACAATCAGTTAGGAGATGGCACAGCTCACCGCTGCATAATGAGCTGAGAAAGAAAGTTAGGAAGGACCTGCCCTAATGGATCAGGCTGTTAAAAGTGACTGTGGGAGACTTATACTTTCAAATTTGCAATACTCTATTTGTACAACCTTATAATACTGTAGAATTAGCTCATCTGGTCATGTTTCCTGTCTGGTCTGCATGGGGAGGGGCTGACAACAATTGTGTAAGTTTGACAAGACAAATCTCTCGCCGTCTCTTTTACAGCCTGAGGAGCCAAGGAGATTCCTTTCTTTCTCTGTCCATTATGCAGCTGTGGGTTATGCCCTCTCTTATTTCACTGTTCCCTAGGAGAGATACTGCCCACATAGCAATACAGTAGGAGATGCATAAATTGGGGGGGGGGGGAAATCCTTGGTTTTGGAGGAATAGAAAAAGAATGGATGGAATTAGAATGAACACTACATCTAATTCCCAATGACATGTTGATACTAATATACTTTATGTCTCATGAGTGAGAGAGCCTAATTATCTACCGCAGGATTGTCAAACTCAAGACCCGCAGGCCAGATCCGGTCCATGGAGTGCTTAGATCTGGCCCATGGGGCTGCTCTGGAAACAGCAAAGGACTGGCCCATGGTGCCTCTGCCAGCAAAGACGGAGCTCGGGAGGGCCGTATGCAGCCCTCCCAATCTCCATTTTCGGCTGTGACAGCTTCCTGCAGCCTTGTGCCAGGGAAAATGGAGCTCAGGAGGACCCCACACAGCCCTCCCAAGCTCTGTGTTTGCTGGCAGAGCACTTGGGTCACCACAGGTGCGCCCAACATGACTGACATCAAGCTGGCCACTCCCACCCTGGCCATTCCCACCCGGCCCCCTGAGGTCAAACACAACCCTGTTGTGGCCCTCAATGAAATCAAGTTTGACACCCCTGGACTAGAACCTGGGTTTCCTCATTCCAGTCTAGCGCCTTCACCGTTACACCACTCTGGCTATAGGGCTGAGAAGAAGGGAATGGACAGAGTACAGCAATTGTCATTTGAGGGAACTTCAAGAAGGCCTCCAAAATTACAATATAGGTAATCTTCGACTTACATCCACAATTAAGCCCAAAGTTTCTGTTACTAACCAAGACAGTTGTTAAGTGAATTTTGCCCCATTTTATGACCTTTCTTGCCACAATTGTTAAGTGAATCGCTGCAGTTATTAAGCTAATAACATGGCTGTAAAGTGAATCTGGCTTCCACACTGACTTTGTTTGCCAGAAGTTCACAAAAAGTGATCATATGACCCCGGGGGCAACCCAAATCTTCATAAGTATGAATCAGTTGCCAAGGGTCTATATTTTGATCATGTCACCACAGGGCTGCTGTAATGGTTGTAAGTGTGAAAAACGGTCATAAATCACTTTTTACCCACAGTTCGAATTTTGAATGGTCAGTAAATGAACTGTTGTAAGTTGAGGACTATCTGTATGCAGAAGAACTCATGTTCTCACAGAACCCCCACTGACAATGGAGTCCTGACCATAACCTGCAATGAGTCTTCTATCACTACTTTATTATAATTCATTATTATATTAATTAGGAGATGGAACAGTTACCCATTTTTCCCAATCCAGCCATCTGGATTTTTTTTCTCCAAAGAGATGTCATAGAAGCCATGGAGTTGAACTTTCTTAAAACATGGTGGAAAAAAGGAATAGCAATAGCAATAGCACTTCGATTTACTGTATATACCGCTTTACAGTGATTTACAGCCCTCTCTAAACTGTTTACAGAGTCAGCATATTGCTCCCAAACAATTTGGGTCCTCATTTTACCCACCTTGGAGGGATGGAAGGCTGAGTCAACCTGAACCTGGTGAGACTCACACTGCCAAATTGCAGGCAGCCAGCAGTCAGCAGAAGTAACCTGCAGTACTGCACTCTAACCACTGCGCCACCACATCTCGTCAATCAAATGGTAATGGAGTGATCATCCTTAGAAATTGAGGTTCTAAGTCTCAACAGACCTAGAAATATCTGCCCTCAACTCACTACTTGTCTCCTGATCATCTTCAACCCAGAATTGTCCACAAAGCACCAGTTGTGTACTGATGATTGCAATTAAGGAACAACCCTCCCCCTCTTTGAATGAAACATCATTTATAGGGTTGGCTCTCTGAAGGCAATTATGTAATTGCTTCAAACTGGCTGTTTAAGAAGCTCAAGGAATTGGTTAGTTTCTCGTTTGAAGACTGTGAAACTTGCAATTGCCATTAACAACAAGCTCTGGAAGATGGATGTAGATGGACTTGCCTATATGGACCCACAAAACAGAGACTTGCCAGCTTCTAAACAGAGCAAAGGTAACGACTTAAAGCTATTTTTTTACTGCCCTCTGCATGTCGGCAGTAATTTTTTTTAAGGCAATTTAAGAAGATGGTGAAAGTGAATCCAGTCCCTAGGAGTTTTAGCTTTTTTATTGTAGAGAGAAAAAAAAAAAAGAGAAAGCGAAGACTGTCTTTCCTAATATCTATAGATGCGTGCAGGTTTTTTTTTTTTTTGTTCCTGGAGAATACATCTGAAATCTACAGAGTAAATTTGCCATTTTGATTGGCGGGCACGGTGAGCAACTGAGCTTTTAAACGTTAAGCAAATTTGTTCATTTCCTGCAATGGGGCAAGATCTTGGAGGGATTAAAAAATAGATTTAAAATTTGTGATAATAGTGGAAAAGGTTTGATGCTACCCACAATGGAGGAATGCTTGCTGAAGATGATGGAAAAATTAATTTCTAATATGTTAATGTTCTAATGATGATGGTTAAAATAGCTTCAGAGGAAAAACAGTATCTACATCTGTAAGCTGATTGGAAACCCCTTTTAGACTTTCTGAATGAATTGGAAAAAAGATGTTCTTATGATTTATGGTTTTGATCAGGGGTGAAATCCATCAGGTTCTGACGGGTTCTGGAGAACCAGTAGCGGAAATTTTGAGTAGTTCGGAGAAAAAGCAAATACCACCTCTGGCTGGCCCCAGAGTGGGGTGGAATGGAGATTTTTCAATATCCTTCCCCCAGGAGTGGGGAGGGAATGGAGATTTTGCAGTATCCTTCCCCTGACACACCCACTAAGCCACACCATGCCCACCAAGCCACGCCCACAGAACCGGTAGTGAAAACATTTTGGATTTCATCACTGGTTTTGATGATTAGAAAAAAACCTGGATAATAGAAAACATGAGAGATATTTTTTTTTGCAATCATAGGTAAAAATAATTTTAAAGTTGTATTTACATTTTCTGCAAAGGAAATCGGAGGTTTCTTCTATTTCTTTGTCATTCATTCATTCATTCTTTCTGCACTTTTTCTTTCTCTCCTTGTTTCTTCTATTCTTTGCCTGTGTTATTGTAAGTTCTTTCTAAACTTTGAATAAAATTATTATAAAAATTGAAGTTTTTTTTATCGATTGAAGTTCCTGTATTCCAACTTCCTATGTTCTAACAACTTTTTCATGTCTGTATAACGGCTCTTCATATAACTTTTTTTTTTACAAAATGCACTTCAAAAAAAATACTCCTTCCTTGTCAGACTTTTTTTTTTTAATTTAAAATTTTATTTTAATTCAAACATCATTTTCCATTAAACAGTGTGTCATCTGGGTACAAATCTTTTGTGCAAATATTTTATACAATAGCAATTACAATTTACAGTCATATTTATTATTTTATGTATTCTTAACTTAATACTAATAGTAATATATACCATACCTAATAAAGTCCTCTTCTTAACATATTTAATTTCGTTAAAACATTTTCTCTATTTCACTCCTCTGCTTTTTTTCCACTTTTCATATTTATTCTCCAACCATTGATAAACTAGTTCCCATCTGTTATAATAATCAAATTGTTCCTTCTCTTTAATTTCAAGTGTTAACCTATTCATTTACGCACATTCTAATATTTTCCTAATCACATTCTCATCCATAGGGATCTCTTCATTTTTCCAATTTTGTGCAAATACAATCCTAGCTGCAGTTATTACATGAATTATCAAATATACATTCTTTACTGTAAGTTCCTGGCAAAATCCCCAACAAAAATAATTCAGGTTTCAGATGGATATGCTGTTGTATCATCTCCTCCAACCATATACATATTTTTATCCAATATTTTTTGGCTTTTACGCATGTTCACCACATATGATAATACGACCCCGGTGTCTGGTGGCATTTCCAACATTTCACTGTCTTCTCCACCATCTTATGATCTGGTCATATTAGGCAGGAGAAAACCTTTAAAAATCAAAGAAGATGGAATACATGTCGATGCCCATATGATCTGAAGCTTCTAAAGATAAGCGTGTGTTCTTCAAGGTTCATCTTTAATTTTATCCTTAGGAAAGGGGAGAAGACTGATGTGTTTAGTTTCCCCCAAAGTTCATATCCTGCCATTTCTTATTGATAAAACACTGCATTGAGCGGAGTAATGCATATTAAACAACTCAATTAAAATTTTTATTAAAGTCGCAGACCAGCATAAGGAGGATGGAATACAAACAATCACAGGGGTGGGTTCTACTTACCTTTACTACCAGTTCGCAACGGGATCGCGCACGTGCGCTCGCTTTGCTCATGCATGCGCCTTGCTTCTGCGCATGCACAGATCGCTTCTGATGACATCAGGGTCAGTGGGCGGAGCCTCCCACCCGTTTTATTTCCGGTTCTATAGAACTGGTCCGAACCAGGGGCAACCCATCACTGATACCTCACTATATCTCTCATAATACCAAACACTCTCAACAAACAATTCAAATACATATTAAGGCCGGTTTGAGACACAGGTGCATTTTAATCACTGTTGTGTAAAACCTGGCAAGGTTTATGTTGTGGCGGGATTAGTGTCTCCAAGCCGCAAGGAGGTATTCAATTGTCCTGTGCATATTTAAAGACTGAGTATTTATAAGATATTGGTGAAATGAGGGCAAGGTGAATGTCTCTGTTGTGGCAGAGGCACAGGAGGAACAGTTTTTAAAGTTTATTTACAGGTAGGTAGTACTTGGCAGTGGTGGGATTCAAGTAATTTAACAACCGGTTCTCTGCCCTAATGATTTCTTCCAACAACCAGTTTGCCAAACTGCTCACAAAGTTAACAACCAATTCTCCCGAAGTGATGCGAACTGGCTGAATCCCACCACTGGTCCATGGCTTACAACAGTTCATTTAGTGATGCTTCGAAGTTACAGCAACACTGCAAAAAGTACCTTATGACCATTTTTCGCACTTATGATCATTGCAGCACACACACACCCCCGCTGCCATGGTCATGTGATTTACACTCAGATGCTTGACAACTGGTTCATATTTATGACGGTTGCCGTGTCCCAGGGTCATGTGATCCCACTTTGTGTCCTTCTGGCAAACAAAGTCAATGGGAAAACCAGATTCACTTAACAACGGCGTTACTAATTTAACAATTGCAGCGATTCACTTAACCAATGTGGCAAGAAAAGTTGTAAAATGGAGCAAAACCCACTTAATAAATTTCTCACTTAGCAACGTAAATTTGGGGCTCAATTGTGGTTGTACATCAAGGACTACCTATATTAAATGTATAGGCATCCCATCTCACTGTTACAGTGACTTTGACCTCTGCTCTATTGTCTCTCTATGTCTAGAGTCATAGTGACATTGGTTTTCTGGGTAGGGAATTTTCTTGTTTCAAGAGCAACCGAGGAGCAAGTATTAAGCAACTAGATGGACTTCTACATTTTGTCAGTCTTGTGACAAGGGAAGGAGAAACAAAGCCAGGGGGAATCCACTAACCATCTTCCTTAACTATGTGGTCTTTCCTTATCAGCAATGTGCTGCAGCTGCAAAAAAACAAAAAACAAACAAACAAACAAAAAAAGCCAACACAGTTGTAGGCTGTGTTGAGAGAGGGATAGAATCAAGGTCTTGTGAAGTATTAGTATCACTTTATAATGCCTTGGTAAGACCACACTTGGGATATTGCACCCAGTTTTGGTCGCCACGATGTAAAAAACATTTTGAGACTTTAGAAAGAGTGCAGAGAAGAGCAACAAAGAGGATTATAGAACTGGAGGCTAAAACATATGACAAATGGTTACAGGAACTGGGAATGTCTAGTTTAATGAAGAGAAGGACTAGGGAAGACATGATAGCAGTGTTCCAGTATCTCAGGGGCTGCCACAAAGAACAGGGAGTTAAGCTATTCTCCAAAGCACCTGAGGGTAGGACAAGAAACAATGGATGGAAACTAATCAAGGAGAGAAGCAATCTAAAACTAAGGAGAAATTTCCTGACAGTTAAAACAATCAGTGGAACGACTTGTGGGTGCTCCAACACTGGAGGATTTTAAGAAGAGATTGAACAACCATTTGTCTGAAATGATATAGGGTTTCCTGCTTGAGCAGGGGTTAGACGAGAAGACCTCCAAGGTCCCTTCCAACTCTGTTATTCTGTCCTGTCCTGTCCTGTCCTGTCCTGTCCTGTCCTGTCCTATCCTATCCTATCCTATCCTATCCTATCCTATCCTATCCTATCCTATCCTGACAGCACCATCCACAGGTCTCCTTCCTGGAAGAGAAGAAGATCTCTAAATTTTATGCTAGAAGACTTTCTAGGCTGCTCAAGAAAAAATGCAGGGCTGTGCCTCTAGAAAAGATCTCTCACCGAAAAGATTCAAAGCATAGCACCTCATCCCCATAATGTTCTTTGCTAAGCCTGCACCTGCCTTCAATTCCTTCTCTACAAAACCATATAGTCAAGGCAGTCTGGTGCCAGCTACACATAAGGAACCAAAAAAAAAAACCAAAAAACCATTCATGGCTCCCACTTGTGGCCAAAATAGGATTAGCTGGTCTGGAAGAGGTTGAAATGATCCATTGGAAAGACCACAGGTTGATCGTTTTTGGCCTTTGCAAAAGCTGCTGCCTACTTATCATTCGCCCATTGTCCCAAGTCTTCCCTTAAGACCTTCCCAGGAAACCTTTGGAAAAAGGCAACCTCTTTAGCTTCTAGGTACAAAACTGGGCTGCCGCATCTCTCGGTTTTAGGTTTCATTTTAACTTTGAAATTGTTCTTCAGTCTTTTATTTCTGGTTCTTATGGTTACAACAGGCTTTGCTGAGGAATTAGTTAAACCAAAAGGAAATATAGGGGAAATGCAAAGCAATCTCTCCTTCAGCGTCTTCTGAAAAGAAATGGAAAACCTTTTAAGAAGAGACTGGACAGCCGCTTGAGCAGGGGGTTGGACTAGAAGATCTCCAAGGTCCCTTTCAGCTCTATTCTGATTGAAAGGGTTGAAGAATGATGGACCCCCCCTTCTGTAATTCTGCCGTCATATCAC